ACGGTGTTGTTTCTAGTGACTATCACTGTGTATTGTGGTGAATAATCTCGACACACGGTGTTGTTTCTAGTGACTATTACTGTGTATTGTGGTGAATAATCTCGACACACGGTGTTGTTTCTAGTGACTATTACTGTGTATTGTGGTGAATAATCTTGACACACGGTGTTTTAGGGACTATAACTGTAGTTTGTGGTAAATTCTTATTTAGTGCCACTTTACATTCATCCCTTTCGATGCTCTTTAAAAAAGCGTGATTGGTTTTTCTATAGGAAGAATATTTAAGTTTGTTTTTCTACTACTGGGAAATGTTATATGACATAAATATATTCTCTATAATGACGTAGCCTTAACAGTTGTCAGTCATTTCATGTCTTACGTATTGAATTATATCACGCCTTTAATATACCCGACTTACTTAGCGACATCACTCGCAATAGAGAAGATTAAAACACATCTGAAGAGTGAGATTATCTTATGAACACTTCCATTAGAGGTTTAATAATTTTTGCCCTCAATGACCGATCACATTCACTGACACAGAAGTACTCTTGTGTAAATGTTGTCGTGTACTGACAAATTGATTTATATGTCATGTCATGTACCGAACAACGAACTTCATTCCTTGCAGTGCACTGAACGTGATTGTATGTCTAGTTGTTTACTGAACCACTGATTTTCACGCATTATCGCGATTTCAAGAGTTGACTTAATGCCTTTTGGATATCATTATCATAGCATCAAAATAATAGTTACTGATTTACTAATTACTTTTTTTTTAAATTATATCTTTAATACAAAGTGAATTGACATGGGATATTGTAACAAACTGTATCACATAATCGACAGAAACATTTTGAATTAACTTTCACATCTATAATTCAAAGCAAAAATTAAAAATAAAGTCCTAAGATTTGATGAGGTGATTTTTGATATTCATAACCGATAAATGATGAGATAATAAACTTTGTTAATAAACCTCTAATTACATAGAATTAGCAGACAACTGCCTTGGTTATGAACTTAGCTGAAAACCACCTGGCTGCCATGATCTTAGCAAAAAGCTATTTATTTCCATATATTCAGTAGGTAAATAATAACTACCATGAAGCCCTTGAATAAATTGTTACTTACAATAAACATAGCAGACATCAATTAACCAATACAAACTATTATCTACTAGCCTAGAGGACTAACATGTTTGATTGTTAGAGCGCTCGAATCGCAAACTGCGAGTCGCGGGTTTAAATCCCCGCCACCGAATATGCTCGCCCTGTCAGGCGTTATAATGTGACTATTAATCCCACTATTCGTTGGTAAAAGAGTAGCCCAAGAGTTGGCGGGGGACGATGTTGACTAGCTGTCCTCCATCTAGCCTATCACTACTAAATTAGGGAAGACTAGCGCAGATAGCCCTCGAGTAGCTTTGCGCGAAATTCAAAACAAAACAAGCCAAACTAGCTAATCAGACAAGTCACTAACTACTTTGTATTCAACAGACAAACTACTAATCATACCAAATAACTGATCAATGTTTTTATATATAATCGAAGTTTTCTACATTTTAGTTATTACTGTTATCTAATTAAAGTCGTTGATATTCCTGAATCAGTTGTTTTCTGTAAAACAAGTGTTAAGTAGTTTTTGTTTTAGTGGAACTTTAGACAGGTTTTGGTTTGTTTTGTTTTGAATTTCGCTAGCAATGAAAGACTAGAGGGAAGGTAGCTAGTCATTACCCCCAACTCATGGGCTACTCTTTTACCAACGTTATAACGCCCAACGGCAGAAAGGGCGGCCATTTTGGGTGAAACGGGGATTCGAACCCGCGACTCTCAGATTGCGAGTCAAGCGCCCTAACCACCTGACCATGACGAGTCCAACTTTAGACAGAGTAGGTCTGAAAACTTTAATGTCTGTTGAAAGAAAAGGAGCCGGTGTTTTTAAATGATCAGTAATGTGACCTTATATGCAAATATCTGCATTGAAGCTCCTGTTCACAAATTTTCATTTGGCACAACAAACTTTGCAACCCAAGAAATAACCAGAAGATTATTTTGTTAGTAAGGCGGATATTAATGGAAGCCGTATACCGATATGTATACTTCAAATGAATGAATCAATAAGATGCTGATATAACGTGGTTCAACTCTCTATTAGAGAATTGCCAGTTCATCAAAACTTCTTGAAGATGGATCAATTGCTGCCAAGCATATTCCCGTAGCAACCTATACAATTAGATTCAAATCCGATGAGTGTGCTGGCCATTCCATTAGATACTCTTTTTCTCCAGGAATTTTCTAGATAGTTCTAGATACGAGTGTGTTCGTCATCATACATTATAAGTAAGTATTGACGAACTGCTCCTGTATATAGCAAAACTAATGGCTATAACACTTCATCCTTATATCACATGACATTCATACTGTCCTGTCATAACTCCTAAAGGACAGTGTGGCCACAAATGCCAGGCCCTGTCTAGACTAGTATGTCATCACTACCGTATGCGGATCTTTCTTCCTTTAAATCATGTTTGGATCTGGTCTCGTCTATTATCCAAATGAACACACGCCTCGTGTTTGGTTGCAGTGTGAAGTGTGATTAGTTTGTGCACTAAAAATTCCCTCACATTTTGTTTAACCCATCCACGTTTTCTTAATACCATTGCGAATGACTGTTCCTGTCAATGGATTAGAGGAACGGACACCATTGGTCGTATGACATAAGGCTAACACTAAGATATATGTTTCTCACCTTTTACTTGCTGATTAGTCATCCATGCTCTGAACTCTTAATATACTCCGAAAGCTGAGGCTTATCGATTGGGTTGAACCTATATTGTTAAATATATGTTCCCTTGCTTGGTCATCGATAAGGATCTGCCATGCCCATGTCTCTGGTCGACTGCATTGGAGGCTTGAAGGCAAGCCCATATCTAGTTATTAAGCGTTGTGAGACTTGTAGCCACTGTATAATGGGTTACTGAGTTTGATCGACTTCTAGCCCACCTATTGTTCTCCACATCAAGGAAGTATTTAAATGTATTCATTGACAGTCTGAAATGTTTTATTATTAGTTTAAGTCTCTTTACACACTGTTGCTCATATTAATAACTGATAATACGCTGATTTTTAAAACTACTGAAATATGTAAGTCGGGTCACATGACCAGTCATCCGACACTTATTTTTCAGAAAAAGTGATCATAGAGTGCCAATGAAATCTCCTTTATTCAAGCGTTGTTGTTGTCAGAAAAACTCCAAATATAAAATTTGTGTCAGCAATGTGAATACTGTTTTGTAAAACATTCTAAGTTAAATTTTATAACGCACACTTTGATATTCTTTGAATCTAAATATAACTTCTCTACCTAATTGTTACTTCTTTTCACTTGTGAACTTTTCATTATTGTATGCCTAATCGATATGATTTGGTTTGTTAGCAGTGAGAGAAGGTAGCTAGTCAAGACCATTCATAGCCAACTCCTGGGCCACTCACTTACCAACGAATAGCGGGATTAATCGCAACATTATAACTCCCTCACGAGCGAACATGTTCGGTGGCGATGATTCAAACCCGCGCCCCACAAAATGCTAGTTGAGCGCCCTAACTACCAGGATAATTGATGTGTCCATTTCTCTTGTAAAATAACCATTCTTTTCTACCTTACCTTTCTTTTTGTTTGTCCCCAAAATCCTTCCACGGTTTTGGAGCTAGCAGGAGTGGCCAGAGAAGGGGATGTTTTTATCTATATGATATAGTCCTTCAACTTAGGGGTAGAAAGCAGGCAAGACGCATCTGTAAGCTTACCCAAACATAATCCTGTTGGAAAGGTAGTTTTTCAGGGTCACTGAACTAGAATCTGGCTCAGGATTTAGTGCTTATAGCACTCGAGGAGTCCTGTAGATGCCATGTTTGAAACTGTATTAATACCTTCACTCACAAGATAACGGGACCAAACGTGGCACACTTGATAAGGTGTCCTAACGGGGACTGATTTTGGGTTAACTATAGAAGTAATTAGGGGTAATGAAGGATCTTGATCGGTACATTGGGACCTCTGTAAATCACGAGGAGGGTCTCTGAATCATGTAGCGTACCGTGGATATATCGTGTTAATTTTGTAAAATAGTCGTTATTGTTTATGTAATCTTGTAAATAGGTATTATTGCCTACTTCAGATATGCTTGAAAAAATTGCTTGTTGAAAAAAACCTTTCCACTAGCACTTCAATGAACTGTTTTGTACGTTTAAATAAAAAAGGTTATTTATCATTCACTTGGTTGTTTGTACAGAAGCGTTTATGGCTGAAAATAATAAACAACATAAATATTAGTTTATTAATTTGAATAATTATTTCTTCTGCAGGTAGCACTCATTGGGATTCCATACCCAGCAGAAATTAGAGACTACAAAATTACCTGTCATAGCAACCAGAGCCTGAAACATTACCTGCCATAGCTTTGATTTTGTTCAAATCGTTCATAAAAAACTATGACAGACTTAGATGTCGCCATCACCCTTACTGGCATCAGCATCATTATCGCAGCCATCTTGTACGGCTTATGTCGATTACTCGGTGGCTGGACATGGCTACGCACTTGGTTGACCGGAACTAAGGAGGAAACAGCACATCTGACGAAAAGCGAAGACTTTGGTATGAAGGGTTATAGCAATATGGTAAGTAAAAATGTTCCTAGGCTAAGTGGGTTTGTTTGCATATCCTTCCTAGTAATTGGAATTAAAATTAAACATTTTGCATCAAACATGTTGCAAAATAGATACAAGATCAACTAAGTGCAATTCGTTCGAGTTGGGCTGCAAAGGAGAAAATATATGTATTACACTTTGTATAAATCATACATCTAATAAACACATTAAATATTCTGTTTACTTAGCCGTTTGGAACTGTTGACAGTAGATCTAAAAAAAGCCATTGTATTTGTGCACTGTTCCTTTCTTCTTCTAGCTATTATCTTCTATATCCCAGCTCTTCTTAAATTATTTCATTGAGCTTTTTAACTGAAAAGCAATTAAAATGTAAATTAAGGATATAAAGATCAACCAACTTTTCTTCATCCGCAACCTTATCTATAACCGATGTTACATCTTGATATCTACATATGGTCTACAATATATTCCCAACCCATTTCTAGCTAGAGCTATCTTCTCATCTCTGCTTGTATTTTAATATATCAAAACTCCGTTCTGTATATTAGATTCCAACTTCAAAATCCAGAAAAAACTACCTTAACTGTATAGGTCACTTCAGCTTACAGAAGCAAAAACTACCTTAACCGCATGTATATGCCACTTTAATTTTTAAGCCTCTTTAAAACTGGTTTTATTCTGATATTTTTATGGATTCTATAAATCTATT